TCTAGGAATAGACTGCCATCGTGTGGCAGAAAGGAAAGAGACCTTGAAGGGAAAACGCACTTGTAAGGCATCTTTCATTATTTTAAACAATGGTTTGACTTAAACTTTTACATCTTCCTTCCAATTCCCAGTTCAGAAGTTTGCTATTTAAAATGTAATAGATGCAGCCTTCATATTTATTTCCCTCTGTTTATTTATACATATACACACATATTCAAATACTGTAGGTATTATAAACAAAACACATTCTTCAACTTTAACATTACAAATTACATACAGTGGTACCTCGGGTTACATACGCTTCAGGTTACATACACTTCAGGTTACAGACTCTGCTAACCCAGAAATAGTGCTTCAGATTAAGAACTTTGCTTCAGGATGAGAACAGAAATCGTGCTCCAGCGGTGCAGTGGCAGCAGGAGGCCCCATTAGCTAAAGTGGTGCTTCAGGTTAAGAACAGTTTCAGGTTAAGAACGGACCTCCAGAACGAATTAAGTACTTAACCCGAGGTACCACTGTATTCACAATAGTCAAGTATTTATACACATTTCCCTTTCCACATATTCCCTTGTGACTTCTCTCCCCCCTGTGCATGGCATCTTTAATTCTATTTTATAATATTACTATTGTGTTTATATTTATTATCTAGCACATTCAAAATTCCTTCTTTCATTTCATTAATCTTATCTTTGTGAGATTAATCTATACTTTAATCAATAAATTACTGTTGGAACATCTTTGTGTCATGTAGTCATCAGCACATTTCCATTTCTTTCTAAGATTCTGGTTGGATTGTATTGATTATTGCTGTCATTTTTGCCAATTCATAAAATTCAAGTTGCCAATCTATCACTGAGGGTATTTCTTCACACTTCCAATTTCTAGCAACCAATAATCTAGCGGCAGCTGTAGCATACAAAAAGATTCTAATTTTATCTTTTGGACTGTCATTTGAGACTATCCCTAAGAGAAACACTTCCGGTTTCTTACCAAAATTTACTTTAAACATTTTTTTCATAGAATCATAGAGGTGGAAGAGACCACAAGGGCCGAGTCCAACCCCCTGCCAAGCAGGAAACACCATCAGAGCACTCCTGACATATGGTTGTCAAGCCTCTGCTTAAAGACCTCCAAAGAAGGAGACTCCACCACACTCCTTGGCAGCAAATTCCACTGTCAAACAGCTCTTACTGTCAGGAAGTTCTTCCTAATGTTGAGGGGGAATCTTCTTTCTTTTCAATTCCTCATATATGTTATTCCAGAATATTTTTATTTTGGTACAATCCCACCACAAGTGGTAGAGTAATTCTTCTGATACTTTAAATCTCCAGCACAAATTTGATGGTAATTTATAAACTTTTGCTAATTTAACGAGTCATGTACCACCTGTAACACATCTTCATATATTCTTTAATAGTGTAACAGGTGGTAAAATTGGTATGTTTTCCAAAGCTTTTCCCATTTGTCTAGCCAAATCGCGTAACCAAAATCCTGTCCCCATTTAATCATGACTTCTTTAATGACTTCTGCTCATCTTTTAATTCCCATTCAAGTAATGTTATACATTTTTGATATTCTTCTTAGAACTATTCAGAAATTCTGATTGAAATTTGGACTCTTGGACTCATGCAGAGATGAATTTATCATTAAGTTTGTAATATTGTTCTTCATAAGGTTTCAGCTTTAGCTGTCCCTTGTTCTTCTTTTAGGTCTTTATAAGTAACTCCAATTTTTCCCCATGTTTTTCTTTTTAACTGAAATCATTTCAAGTGGTGCTGCCCACCAAGGGGTCTTGGGTTCTAATAAACTATACTTCCTCCAAATTTTTATTAATGAGTTCCCAATTATATGATTCATAATCATTTGTCTTGTACCTTTGTCTTGTTATCTAAATGGCATGCCACCCGTGTCTATTGTTGTCCCTCTAGATCTAATATATCAGTATTGTCCAATGAAATCCATTCTTTGATCCAGCAGAGGCAAGAGGCCTTGTAGTAGATTTTCAAATCCAGGAGTCTGAATCCCCCCCCCCTTCTATTAGTAAGTTATTTACCGTATATTTGGTACGAGGTCTCTCATTTCCATTTTAAAGTGTGCGTTTTTTATCCTATTGTTTTAAATGCCCTGGTGCTTCTTTAGGAGGAAAGTGAGAAATTAAAAATAAAATACTTTAAAAATGTTTACTTCTATCAGTTAATGAAAGCATATCCTATTGACAGGTGGGTGCTTACACAAACAGGACACACAATGACCAGTCATTGCAACTGCCATTCTGCTTGGGCATTTTCTTTACTGCTAGGCTGCTGTTTAAAGCAGAGCTTTCCAAACTGTGTCGCAACGCTGTGTGCAGGTGTGTTGCACAATCGCTCCCTTCGCTTCTCCCAAAACCTGCCGGGTTGCTAGTAAAACTGAATTACTGTGTTGCAAAATGATGAATGTCTAAAAAGTGTGTCACCAAAATGAAAAAGGTGGCAAAGGTGCAAGCAGAGCTGTGCATCCTGTGAACCTCTTGAGAGACCTGTGGGTATCGGGGGAGCTATACAAATTGAATGATTCAATGGTTGGCAAGCAGCCAAACAATTGCAGCTGTCAGTTAACACGACAGATTTAAAGATGCAGGACATTTCGAATTCAAAGAATTTACTTGCACCTTCTCCAAAACTGGCAAACTTCTGCTAGATCAGTGAAAGGCATCGTGCCACCATTGCAAAGTCCTCTGCGAGGTTTATCACATCTTGGCACCTTCATTTTTAATCTTCCAGTGGCTTGAGATGGCAACCTCCACTAGGAATAGTCCTGCAATGGTAGAATGCACTGTGCCACCTAGGAAGAGCATCACCCTTGTCAGGAAACTAGAACCTTTATTAGGACCAATGAGAATATGTGGTAATATAGTATATGCCCCAATAGCCTCCATGTAAAAAGATGTAAAAGAAAAAAGAATGTGTCTGCCTTCAGCAAGCCTGATAGAGGGTGGACCCCCAGTTCTCCTCTTCCAGGTCGGATTCTGGAAGCATGCTTTTCCTCTGAGAACATTGGTTATTTTCTATGCATGTCTAATGCCAAAAGAAATGTCTCTGCATAAGCCTGTGTGATTTATAGGCAAGTGGTTCCCCAGCAGCCCAAGCTGCAATGACAGAGTAAACCCATCTCAAAGCAGTACATGTGAAAAGGATCTAGGAGTCTTGGTTGACCACAAACTTGACATGAGCCAACAGTGTGATGCGGCAGCTAAAAAAGCCAATGCAATTCTGGGCTGCATCAATAGGAGTATAGCATCTAGATCAAGGGAAGTAATAGTGCCACTGTATTCTGCTCTGGTCAGACCTCACCTGGAGTACTGTTGGAGTTCTGGGCAGTTCTGGGCACCACAGTTCAAGAAGGACACTGACAAACTGGAACGTGTCCAGAGGAGAGCAACCAAAATGGTCAAAGGCCTGGAAACGATGCCTTATGAGGAACGGCTAAGGGAGCAGGGCATGTTTAGCCTGGAGAAGAGGAGGTTAAGGGGTGATATGATAGCCATGTTCAAATATATAAAAGGATGTCACATAGAGGAGGGAGAAAGGTTGTTTTCTGCTGCTCCAGAGAAGCGGACACGGAGCAATGGATCCAAACTACAAGAAAGAAGATTCCACTCAACATTAGGAAGAACTTCCTGACAGTAAGAGCTGTTTGACAGTGGAATTTGCTGCCAAGGAGTGTGGTGGAGTCTCCTTCTTTGGAGGTCTTTAAGCAGAGGCTTGACAACCATATGTCAGGAGTGCTCTGATGGTGTTTCCTGCTTGGCAGGGGGTTGGACTCGATGGCCCTTGTGGTCTCTTCCAACTCTATGATTCTATGATCAGTGCTGTAGTTGCTAAAGAAATCCACTAGTCAAACAAGCTTTCAGATTCTGCAGAACTCTTCAGCAGCCTGCCTATGATGACTGCACTGAAAAAGCAGCATCGTGCAGCAGCAAGTGTCAAGCAGCACAGGCGGACTGTTCTTTTCAACACCTTCACTTCTGCTGGACATCAATGCAGTGCTCTTGTTCCAAGAACACTCCCAACTCCTATCAGCCCCCGCAACCAGGGCCAGCGGCCAGGAAGAATGGATACACTGGAGCCTAAAAATCTTAAGGGCACCAGGTTGCATAAAGCCGATGGAAGATTTTCTTTCTTTCTGTGCAGCTCTCCTCTTGAGGGGGTTTTGATTTCTAAAAATATCAGCATTTCAGAACACATGCAGCCACCAACTACATGGAATCAAAGACGTCAGCAGGAGAAAGTTTCTGTTGCCTCCATCCCTCATTCAACATCACCTATTCTGGGAGAGCTTTAGGGATGGCGCCCTCTGGTTTGGTAAGCTACCCCCTGCTTCAAAGTTACTGATTTGCTAGGACTGAAGAGGCACAAGATCCCAGCTCAAATTCAACAGGCAGAAACCATTTTTTTTAATCTCCACTTTATTTTTTGCAACAAATAACCACATGCAGCAGTCTTACAAATTCCTTTCTGATATTTCGGCAGCAGCACAGCCATTGCTGCAATTTGTTATTTTTTTATTGGATTTATATCCCACCTTTTCCTCCAAGAACCTCAAGGTGGCATACAAGGTCTTCCCCCTTCCTCACCTAATCCCCACCAACAAACCTTGCAGGTAGGGTAGAATGAGAGGTGGTGACTGGCCCTAGGATACATCCACTGGTGGGTTTCATGGTTGAAGGCATCTGAATCCAGGTCTCCCAGATCCTAGCCGGGATCCCCAATCGCTACATCCCACTGGCTGTCAAACACATTCAAGCCTCTCTCTCCAAGGACAGCCCTCAACTCCTCTTCCCCCTTCCACCCTAGAGAAGACTAGAGAACACCAAAGGTCCTGCGGTTTACAGATGGATACCGTGCAATTTTCGTCCTGCTAGTCTAATCAAAATTGCATCGTAATCCACCCGACAACAGCAGAACACGGGCTCCTGGTCCTCTCCTCCCTCTTACCCTTCTGCTCCCGAAGAATTTCTCTCCCTCTCCACAGGCCGGGACAAGTGCAATACTGTCCAGAGAACCCACAAGTAATGCAACAAATCCCAACCCAGGGAGAAGCCAGTTTTCTAAAGCTGCCTTTGAAAGCAAAGCAAGAATAAAGGGGACAGGGGGAAAAGCCCTGGGGGGACGGAGCTCCTCTCTGCTCACACCACCACCGTCAGTTTTGCATGGATTTGCACAGCAATGGACACCAAGCTGGGATGCAAACCTGCAAAACGGACTGTAGATCAGCACACGGTCTTCTCAGGCGCTCCTCTGCCCCCCACCGGCCCCAACGTGGCATTTGGTGTCTAACAGTACTGTAAGTGCCCATATTACAGTAGATCTGGATGCACAACTACCTGCACTATGAGCACTTTGCCACTGCTAAGACGAAGCAGAGATTGCTGGGAATCCTTCGGGAAAGCATTTTGGATAGGGAGGCTCAAGGGCAAGAACAAAGCAAAAGAAGTCAACAGCACCCATCTGGATTAGTCCCTACTGAACCAGCATGATGCAACGGGTCCCAGGTTCAAATCTCTGCCATTTGTCATTAATCACTCTTTTGGCGCTACAGAACCACCCTTTGGAACACCCTGCCTCTTGACAACAAGCAGGTGACTCCACTAGTCTTCTCAGCTAAGGCTTTGTTTAGACAAACTTACCCAGACACGCAGACGTGTATTTTAATCTGGTGTTTCACTTATCACATAATTTTCTTAGTACAGTGGTGCTGTTGTTGTTCAGTCGTGTCCGACTCTTCGTGACCCCCTAGAGCACGCCAGGCACCCCTGTCCTCCACTGCCTCCCGCAGTTTGGTCAGACTCATGCTGGTAGCTTCGAGAACACTGTCCAACCATCTCGTCCTCTGTCGTCCCCTTCTCCTACAGCGGTACCTCGGGCTAAGTACTTAATTCATTCCGGAGGTCCGTTCTTAACCTGAAACTGTTCTTAACCTGAAGCACCACTTTAGCTAATGGGGCCTCCTGCCGCCGCTGCACGATTCCTGTTCTCATCCTGAAGCAAAGTTCTTAACCTGAGGTACTATTTCTGGGTTAGCAGAGTCTGTAACCTGAAGCGTATGTAACCCGAGATACCACTGTAGCTGTTTTAACTGTTTTTATTGAAAATTTTATGACATTGGGTTTTTTTGTAATTCACTTCCAAGGTTTTTATGTTGTTGTTTTTTACAAGGGAGTAAATTTTATGAACAGAAAAAAATCACCAGGCAGGGCTGGGAAGGACCAGGTCTGAAACTGAGGAAAGCCTGTTACTCAGTGCAGACCATAGTGAGCTGGGTGGGCCTTTTGCCTGACTTGGTGAAAAGGTCTTCCTGTGTTCCCAAGATGCCAAGGCACTTTTAAAAGCTAGCGTGGAACATGGAAGCCTATCTGCCTGAGCACTGTGGCAAACAGGATGCTAGATGAGAACTGAGCCCTAAACCTGAGAACGCAAGAGTGACTTCTGGAACAGGCCAATGGCTCATCCAGTCCAGCCCATGGGAAGCCGTCCCATGGTTTCCAGCCAAGAAGCCTTGCTGCCTCCAGCCCTCTCCTCCCTCCATAGATTTATCCAAGCCTCTTTCAAAGCCATCCAAGGGGGTGGCCATCCCTGCCTCCTGCCGGGGGGGTGGGTAACTACATACTGTGTGAATTAAGACTTCTATGTATCCTGAATCTTTCAACACTCAGGTTCATTGCCTACCTGTGAGTTCTACTGTCAAGAGCTCTTGTGCTTGGCAATTCGTATCAGTAAGCCTTCTAAATCAATTTTGGGGGACCTGTGGCCCTCTAAATGTTGATAGGCTCTAAGCTCCCTTATGCCTCACCCAGTGTAGCCAGTAACAGGGATAATGGGAATTGTGGTACAGGAAAATCACAGGTTTCCCTATCCCTGTCCTAAATGGGCAGTGGTGTGTTTTAAGTCCTCACCCTATGCATCTTGAAATGAACCAAAGGTTTTTTTTAAGAGTGGAGAAAGCACACTTTAGTTATTTTTGCTTTCCCCCATATGAATTATGGAAAGAGTTTTGCAGACTTGAATTTAAACACCCTAAACCATGGACCTGTTTCAGCTTTATATGGGATATGTTTGTGAATTCTGCCAGGCAATATTACTGTTTCCATTCTCATATGTCCACGTATTTGAAGGCCACAGCTCAGCAGCAGAGCACCTGACTTGCATGCAGAAGGCCCTGGATTTGATCCCCAAGGGCATCTCCAGGTGGGGCTGGGACAGACCCCCTGCCTGAAACCCCAGAGAGCCGTTGCTGCCAGTCAGTGTAGAGAATGCTGAGCTAGATGGACCAATGGACTGGGGCAGCATTAAGGTATGTTACAAGGCAAGGTTTTGCAACAATTAAACGGGATATAAATTTCATTAAATAAAATATCAAGTGAAAGGGGCAAAATTGTTTCGATTCAGAGTTGGGCAACCTACACTGCAACACCAAAAATGACTTTTGCTATCGCTATCCCACTGGATATTAGACTGGATTATTGCAATGCACTGAATGTGGGTTCTATGTGGGGCTTCAGCTGGTGCAGATGACATGAACATGCTTCCACCAACGCATGGCGCCAAGGTTAAAAGTCACTGGTCACTGAGCCAAGCCCACTGTCCTCATGTCAATGAAGAGTCAAGCCTTCGGTGTTGTGGGTTCAAAGTTATGGCATGTCCTCCCACAAGAAGTTAAGCAGGCACCACCCCTGAGTTTCACACACCTGGTCAGAACAGTTTTGTTTCAGGAGACTTTTGATCCCTAAATGGTTCTCAGATGTTTTATGTTTATTTATTTTTAAAGAGATTTTAAATTCATTAAGTTTAAAATTTTGGAGGTTTAATTGGTTTTAAATTTTGTATATTGTGCAATTTATTGTTGTAAACCAATTTAAATTTAAATTGGAATATAAATCTCTAAATAAACGAAACAGCATTTGTTGTATCAGAAAGTGCAGGTGGTATCCAAATACCATTAACTTTTCATACTCCTGAGAAGCTCGGCATACCAGATTTAAAAAAGAAAAATGCACACCCAATAGAATTTAGGCAAGCTGGTGAAGAGTCTGAGTTACTGCAAAACTCCCAAGGGGCTGAAGCAGCTCAGATATAAAAGGTCTGCAATACCAAGTTCCCAGTTTATTGCATAAAACCATGCAAAACATCACACAAAAATACAAACATAAATAAAAGAATGCTTTTTTAAAAAAAATCAGCCCTCCGTAACCATTTCAGAGGCGAGCAATACAAAGGGAGAGCTCAGGTGGTGCAGTGGTTAGAGTTTTGGACTAACCTTCACTCAGCCATCAAGCTCCCTGGGTGACCCAGGGCTGGTCACGGTCACTCAGCCTAACCTCCCTCACAGAGTTCTTGTGAGGACAAAATGAAGAGAGCCACGTGCACCACCTTCGGCTCCTAGGAGGAAAGGTGGGGTAGAAATACAGTCAATCTACAGAAGCCACAGAGAAACCAAACAGGGTCCAGGACGCAGTTTGCAAGTTAAGGTGCATTTCTACGGGATATGTGGATAGGAGCAGTTGTTGTTCTGCAAGAAAACTGAGAACGTGGTGCATATCGGGTAGGGGGCAGATGTGGTTTTGAACCCAGCAGGTTGGAGTGCCAAAGGTTCCCCACTCCACTCTTTTCAATAACCTTTCATTCAGCATTCAGAATTCACCAGGCACATTTTCCATCTGGCTACTGGCCACTTGCAACCAAGTGAAGATGACTGGGCACCAGAATGGCACCTGCCATCTCCACCATGCCCAGGGATCCTTGGATTTCCCCTGTTTTCACACACTAATACCCCATCCTGTAAAATTCTATCCATCTGCACAATCAGAATGAATTTCAGGAACCAAACAGTTGAAAAATACGACTTTCAAGCTGACTGGCCCCAAAATGGCAACTAGGCATTCCGTTTTGGAGTGTGTAACCCTGGTTTAAGGAGCCATTTGGCACCTGGCTTATATACCTGAGCTTCTAACAGTGCTTCCACTGGTGGAGTAATGCTGCACTCCCACATTTTCTGCAAGGTTGACTTAAAGGCTTCTGGTTGTGCACAAGGCATTCTGAAAGAGGCAGCTGTCTTGCTGTCCTTGTGACTCACTGCCAGCTGCGTGTGCCAGAAGGCGCATCCAGGGCAGTAGATTCTAAGCTATTCCACTCACTGCACTAGATGCACCTTAGCACAAACAGCCTTAGAGTATCCCCAGGCAGATGGAAAGGGAAAGAGGGCCAGCCTGCTCCTCCACCTGAGGAAGGGGGGGCAGCCATCACACAGACTGCCACAGTGATGCTGAAGTGCAAAAACTGCAGTAGGTGATGAAATACTACCTGCACTATAAGCACTTTTGCACCACTGACGGCTCATGCAGAATGCAGAAGACTCAGAAACTTCCTTGCTGCAAAATTCTTCTGCAAACACTGATAAACTGGCATCCGTTGGTTGTCCGAAGGGCCATTGCTGCTCTATTCCAGGGAATAACTGTTGGGGTTCTTTTAATAAAAAAAGGGAGGGTGAGAGAAGAGAGAAAAACAGAACTAAGTTAGCACTAACTTGCACTAGGAAAAAAATGCCCAATAAACTCTCAAAGACCCTCTCCCCCACCCAAATACAAATTTTCAGTAAAAGGGAAATTTGCAAGAAATTGGTTGCAAGCAGTTTATCAAGGGTCTGAGCTCAGTACAGTGGTACCTCAGATTACAGATGCTTCAGGTTACGGGCGCTTCAGGTTACAGACTCTACTAACCCAGAAATAATACCTCGGGTTAAGAACTTTGCTTCAGGATGAGAACAGAAATCGTGCTCCAGCAGCGCAGCAGCAGCGGGAGGCCCCATTAGCTAAAGTGGTGCTTCAGGTTAAGAACAGTTTCAGGTTAAGAACGGACCTCCGGAACGAATTAAGTACATAACCAGAGGTACCACTGTATCAACAGGCAGCTCATCACACTTTGACTGACCTTCTCCTCTCATCAGCAACTGATTTTCGAGAGCAACTGGTTCTGCAGCAGCAGACCCCTTGCTGGTTTTTTAACAACAGTTACCAGGAGAAAAATATAGGGTGGTGGTACTCAAGGTTTCCAGTTGAGTTGTTATTTATACATTTCACAGGAGATAAACCAGGTTTACAAATCATTCTGGAGTCCTGAATGTTATTTTAGGCTAGGATTCAAATCCCCACTCCTGCATGAAACTCACTGTGACCAGGTCCTATCTGCAACAATCCCATGAAACTGCCCTGTGCAATTGGGTTCCTAATCAGAGTCTCCTTCTCCTGACCCATTTTTTCATTGTCTATAACAGCTTCTAATGGTTAGCAACAGTTGTAAGCTTGTGCCTTCCTTAGGGGCAAATGGCAGGTACTGATATTATATTATAATCATTGAACTGGCAATCGTGTCATTAAGCTGTGCCAAAATGCAAACACGCTTTGTCTTGGAACATGCCCATTTATAGTTAGATGTTCCTTTGCAAAAAGAACTAGATGAAAGCTTCCACTTTCATTGTAAGTTTAGTACAAGCCAAATGTCTTTTGTTCAAGGCTTCACAGGCACCTTTTCCAGCCTTTATTCCAAGTTATGGCTGTGCTCTCCAAGGCTCAGTTTCACCATCTACTTCAGAGAAGTGGGAGTCAAGGCAAAGAAGAAATTCAGAATTATTCTGCACTACATTTTAGCTATATAGCATCACTGCACACTTCTAATATTTTCCCTACAACATGGAGATACGGAATTGCTTCTTCTGAAAAGATTATAAAGTTTCTTGCATACAATAATTAAAGATGATGCCAAAGACCAAGCCAGCTCTCAGATCCAAAACACCAACCTGTAGGTTCTGCTTAGAGAATATGAAGTCTACAGATCAATGAAGGGGAGTCGCATTTTAGGGAGATTATAAACCCAATCACAAACTCCTCTTCGCCCCACAAGTAGCATTCTGCCCTCTTAATGCTGCTAAATTTGTTCTTTTTAATATTGACAAAGTGCATAATTCCAACAATAGCTGCAACACACCCAAGCAAGAGAAAGCTCAATCCTTTGAAAAGGCTGCCTGGATTAATCAAGCAAGATTCATAATTGTACACCCTACTAAGGTTAATTGAGCTGCGTTTCTGGGCTTCCTTCAAAGTTTTGCATAATGAATCAACAGAAAACCTAAACGAAAAATACATAAACTCTGCCTTCTTTCCTACCCCCCCCCCAAATCAAACTGCAATAAAGAAATAGAAAGCTTTTGCAGCTTTCAAAAATGTTGAAGCTTCACGATCTGAGAAGTTAAGGAAACTGTGAGGGGAAGGGAATTAAAAGGTCAGGCAACCTGCCCCTTTGCAGCCCCCTCCGCATCTGGCCAGGTCCTTAAACGAAGCGGACAGGGGCAGATTCATTATGTGGGGCTCTCACCGCTAGTTCCTGGGAGAGCTTGGAAACAGTATTTCGAGGGGTGGGGGGCATCCGTAGCCCTTTCCTCCAAGCCCACCACGTGCAAACGGGGACGGAGGGCAAGAAGAGCGCGCGCCCGGGCTTGCGCCCCTCGTGCTGCGATTAAAGAGAAAGGGGCCGCCGAGGCATTGTGGGAAAGGGAGCTCGTTATTCAAAGTGCCAAAAACGCGCCAAGCCCGGCCTCCCCCGCCTCGACAGCCCGCAGCTCACTCGCGCGAACCCACGCGGGCTAAGAGGCTGCGAAACCCACCAACCGCCCGCGCGGCTGAGCTCAGGAGAGCCCCCCCCCGCCCCTGCAATCAAACCCCGCCGATCCTCGCTGCAAACTTCCACTGCGCCTTCCTTTCCTCGGCCCCCCCCAGCCGAAAAATGAAAGGCCACACCATGCACGAGCTCCCTCTGACTCTGAAGAGGTGACGGGCGCATCGCATTGCCCCCAGGAAGGCTCGCTCTCGCTCCTGCCGCCCTGCAAACTCCGAAGCGCGCAATGCTAAAATAAATAATTATAAACTTCCTCGGGGACTGTCGCTGTACAACGTTTGGTTTTCGTTATATATATATATATATGCATATACTTTTGCAAAAGTTTCCCGGCGCCGATCCCTGCCTGCCTGCCTGCCTTCCTTCCGCAGGGCGATGCAACTCCCGCCCCTGACCCAAAGCCGGAGCGAGAGAAAGGAGGGCGCCTCCGCGGCCAGGGGCCCCTTTGTCTCCATGCCTGGGCTGCAGACACGGGCGGCAGCGTCGGTGCGCCAGCCCAGCTCTCCTCCTCCCTCCCCCCGCCTTCCCCAAAAAGTTTGCGCACCCTTTGCGCTGTTACCCCGCAGGCGAGATGCTCGGGGCGGCGGAACGACGAAGACACCGGGTGCGCGGCTGCCTCCCCTGCGTGCGCGGTGCGTGCGCGGTGGCTGCAACCTGGGCTCCTCGAGTCCCGGGCGCACCGCTTCCTTCGCCTCCAGCGCGTGGTGCTGCGAGCCTCCTGCCAGGGAACTACAAGCCCCGGCATACCTCGCGGGAAAGCACATGCGCGGCGGGGCAGACGCTCTTCTTGCTCCCCCTCCCCCCCCAGAGAAAGAGGGGAAACCTCCCTTCCCACTCACCCCCGACCCCCGCCATGTGCACGAGCAACAATGCGTCTTTTAAGAGATGCAAGGAAATAACGTTTTTAAATGATTATTTTTTGTTGGGGCGGGTGGGAACCTGCAGAAGGAAGCGATGCGCCCCTCGGACGTGTGCACGCGCAAAAACAATTTAACACCCCTCACTCTCCTCCCATCTAGCCGGGCTCCTCTTTTTTTTTTTTTTTTTTAGGGAAGGATCCCAGGACAAAGGGAAGGATTTTGCAAAGGATGGAAGGGGCGCTGGGAGGATCTCGCGCCCTCACCCTGCGCAAAGAAAGGCAGCGCCTGCATTGTTGCTGCGCTTGCTGGAGATCCGGAGACGGCAGCCATGAGCGTCATGCGAGTTTTGCAAAAGTGGTATCCGCCGCCGCCGCCCCCCCCCCCCCCAGACCTTGGGCGGCTGCACTCGTAAGAACGGACTTTGCAAAGAAAAGCACGATCCCGCGCCCCCCAAAGTCAGCAGATCCACGCGCAAAATGTGTGCACGCGCTCACTCCCACTCCTACAGGTGGCTTTTCACACGAAAGAGGCGGCCTTTGCAAAAGGCTGGATTTTGCAGCCGCTTTTGCACAGATTTGCAGGGAGGAAGCTGCAAAGTACGTGGAAGCGCCAGAGATCAAAGGAAGGAAGGCGCTTTAAAATCAAAGGTGCGCGCGCGCTTTGCACCACCTCCCCGCTTGTTCTGCTGGAAAGACCAAGAGAGGAAGATAAACACGTTACCTTTAAGTCCTGGTGCAAAAGGCTGCTATTAAAAAAAAGAAGAGAGATTTACGAAAGTGGCGCGAAGACAATGTCATGTGACCACCACCCGAGGCGTCCCCTTTTGCCAGACAGCCAAATGAAGAAGAGGGGGAGGAGCACATCCGCTCCCCACGCAATCAGCATAATTAATTGTGTCCTGCAGTTGAGCCCACTTGGCCAAGGAAATCCAGCCCCGTCCGCGCATCTTGGAGGAAGAACAACTTTTTTATTTGGCGGCACATCGTTCTGTGCAATGATATAAGCATTCTGCAAAGTTTTCAGCAGCTTCATTCACAACCTTGTGGCCGAAGAGAGATTTGAAACCACGTCTCCCTCGTGTATTATGATGATGATGATGATGATGACATTTTAAAAACTTAGTTTTTGATGCTACTTCCCAAGGTAAAAATGTAAAGCCATCTTCATTTAAAATTCTCTAACTGGATATTTTAATAAGGCTGTAATCATAAAATTACTAAGTTGTGCCAAACATTTTGTCATCTTTATGATTACAATACAGACTTATTAAAATCTCCAGTTAGAGGATTCTAAATGAAGATGGCTTTACATTTACTGCTTAATATGTAAATAAAAATAAATGTATATACAGCATTTAAAACCAAGAATACAAAGAAATACGTCCGAAAGAACAGAGAACCCATCAAGGGAACATTCAGTTTAATATCAATAGACAATAAAACGGAAGCGTGTAGTGAACCTTGTAAGCCCGGGAATGCCTGTTTAAATAGATGGGTCTGTAGGAGTTGTTTAAAGCTTTTCAATTTCTGCCTCGTGAACAGAGTGTAGGAAGGAGGGTGTTCCAGACTGGATGAGACCCCAGCAAAAGCTGTGCAGTGCCTCTGAATAAACACACTTGGGATTGAACTGTTAGTGCTTTTCGTTCCTTAGACGTCCCTCTCCTTTTATGCCAATATAATTTTAAAGTAGGGATTGATTATTATTATTATTATTTTGCAAACACCTCTCCTTGTCAGAAGGGATTGATACATATAGTGGACTGATCCACTCTGCAGCCCCAAGTCAGTCTGCATTTATTTTCT